GATCGTAACTCCGGGGTGCCACAGGCAGGAGCAGGGCAGATTACAGCGGATCGCTGCCCGACGGAAGCCACGTGGGACTGCCAGCCTCTTTGAATTTATGGGATTCCTGCTCTTGGCTTCAGAGAACAGAATCCTTGTAAACTTCCATGTGCTGCCTGTGCCCCAGAACAAAGGAGGCAGGCGCAGCGGGGAAAAGCGTTATATGCACGCGTTCACACCCATAATCCAAAACACAGCAGGTAGGTCAAATTAGTAGCCTGCCAGCCTTAGCAGTTCTCCTCTAACAAGCAAAGCTTCTGCAGGAGAGAAAGCAGCAACTTCAAAACACAACCGCTGCTGCCGTTTCCATGGAGACCTGCAACGAAATCTCTCCCTCTCCCTCGGCTCTGCCGTAGCCCTGGCTTTTAAAGCGCTGGGCATCCGCGAAGCCACCGGCAGGCACAGCCGTGTTTCCTCTCTCGGGGAGCTGTGGTTTGTTCCAAAACACCGTCCCAGAGCTGCGACTTTCTAGCGCGGGGTCGCCCTCCCCGCGTTTATTTGGCTTCGCAAAGTGCGGGTTGACTCAGGAAAAAGTTATTTTTCTTCTTTGCGTTGTTTATTCAGGTGCCCTGAGGAGGAATTTGTCTTCCGAACAAGTCAGAGCCGATTTTATTGCTCTAGGTAGGTCACCTGACTTTCACTAAATAAAAGAGAATTAGTATTTATCACACGCAGTAATCTCATGGTTTCCTCCACAGGCCTCAGTGAGGAGAAAGCTGGTTACTTTGCAGAACAGGTATTCTTGCGTTTTTGCGTGTTTCTGAGCCAGCAGAGTGCCAGTCTTTGCGCGGGAGCTGGTAATACCCCACGGGGGCTGCTGGGCTGCGTCAGCACTTGGGGTGTTTTCCCCAAAACCAGCTCCGAATTTTGAGCCGAAGTGCCTCAGCTAACTGACAAGGAACACTGGTGATGATATGGCTGGGTTGCCCCGGCCTCTGTTGGCGGGGATCGGCGATTCCTGCGTGGCTTCCCTGCGGTTGCTCCCTGCTTTGCGGGCTCCGAGGGCGCGTGCCCGCACCAGCGCGGCTTCTTGCGCCGGTACCGCTCCCCTGAACCGGTGCTAAACCAGACCCAGCGCATTTCACTGACAGGAGGGACAGGGCAGGTGGAAATCCTGGCAGGACTGGAACGCGTGGAAAGCCCTCCCG